TCAGCAATGCCACATTTTATCATGATTTTTCAAATGAATGAAAACAAAACGTTCATATACCTGTAAATTACAAGAATTATCACAAATAATGGTTGGAGACAGGCATCACGCAGTACATATATTACAGGAACTATGGAAACTGTACTCTCCATACCATTCATTTTGTTTATGAAAATTAAAGAGCCCAGCACAAACTGTGTAAAAGTGACACGTGATGGAAATTTTAGTTCTAGTATTTTCCAATAACGATAAATGTAAAGATTATACACCTCGTTACGGTAACATTTGGTGGCGTGTATATTTATTACCTTTTCCTCAAATTCTCACGTAGAAAAGATTTCTAGTTTTATTTGCTGAGAGTGGGTTAGTATGAAAAAAAAGCCCCCCCCCCCGTAACCTGGACTTGGAAAATTGGCTCGACTAGTGCATTTTCATGTAATACTATATTTTATGACACTATTATCTATTAACACTTGACAAAAATACGTATTTGTAATTACAACTTTAATTCTATTATTGTCACATCATTTTGTAATGATCTCTCTATGAGCAACATTATAATTTTAAAAATTAAGTTTTTTTTTCAGCTACAATGTCATAAGAATAGAAAAATGCAAACTACATGTATGATGCTAGAAGATTTTAAAAATAACGTTTCCATTTAGGTTGTTAAGGTGAAACACTAAACAATTATCTGTCCAATGATTACTGTAATAATAACTAGTAACACAATGTTTTTGTTGGTTTTTATTTTAATGAGCTTAATGGTAAACATCCTTTCAGGAAAGAATAAACACTTTATTTGTGATTATCAAAATATTTGTTGTTTATAGTTCACCTAACAGTTCTTTTTATTTTCATTCACAGTTTAACAGACATCATGCCCAAGAGATCAAATCCTATGTGTATAATCCTATGTGTATAAAATTACAACTATATGAGCCAACTATCTTTCAATTATTACTTTAATCACCATGGCTTTCAAAAAGTATCCAGAATAACTCTAGGGAATGAAGAGAGAATACCAAGATACAATACTGGAAGTTCCTTACTCACTCATAGCCTGATAGAGTTTTGTTTACCATTGCTACAAGTTTATTGTTATGTAGTTTTCAGTGAAACTTTTAAGACAAAACTCTGGTGAATATGTAAACTAATGTCAATTTTTTTTAATGAACCTGATTGTAACTCAATTCAAATGATCTTCTTTGAGAATTCCTGCCATAGACACCCATCAAGCAGGGTCAGCACTTTAGAAATGTCAAGATAATACCATCCATTATATGTCTCTTTAGCCCCCCCTGTCAATAAAAAATGTAGCCAGAACTGCCACTTTAGGGGAATGATCCGACTCGGCACCTAGTACAACATGCAACCTTAAGTTTAGCCACTTCACAGCCGAGGTCTCACCGTATATAACATTAATTCAACGTAACGTGTAACAAGCTCTATTGTTTGTCAACTGACTGGTACATAGTAGTTGTATTATTTTATATTCAGAATATCAATGATGTTTACACTAAAATTACACATTTTTCTTAATAACACTTCTAAAGCTGTGAAAAGTAACCATTAAGCTAAACACTGTACAACATAAGAAAAAGTAATGTCTGTAAACAGTTTGGAACATGTAATACTGATTTTTAGATTTCTCTAAAATATTAAATCTGTTATCCTAGAGGTTAGATGAGACTTAAGGTCTAGTACATGTTTAACGATAAGGTTTATATCAATATAAGAGCTAAGAACAAGATGCAAATATTTGTATAATACACTGAACAATTTAAAAGTGCTATATTCATGAATCCTTGTTACAAACGTGGACAGGAATCTAACAATGTGTGTTTTTCATGAAAACATAACTATGAAGGGAGGTGCTAGAGATGCAAATGCCATTTTACAAAAAAGTAAGAGAAATTTCAAGTTCTACTATGGGCCCCAGAATAAAACTTTACATGGAACCACACATTGACTAATGCTGCCCCTGTAACTATACAATAATTTGAAAACTGACAACAATGTGACTGTAAATAACGTAAGTCCTAAGAGAAGTTAGAATTAAGTGACCCCTACCTACACATGTTTGTACCCCAACATATTGAAGTTAATAAAATATCAACTCACAGTGCAACAGGACACAAAATAACTACTCCAGAATTCTATTTAAAACCTCTATCAAGCCCTGAGCATACTGTTCCAACTGTACGGTAGAAACTTCCGAAGCAGCCGTATGCTTGCCGGCCTTTGTCGACTTCCTCTTGGTTCCACAGTGAGTGAGCACATCCACGAGCCCCATAAAATATATCTCTGGGTTTGGTGCCTCTAAAGGAAGAATAAGAGTAACTAATATTAACAAACATTGATGTTGTAGCATCGTTCGTATCTGTTAACACTACCACATTATCGAGGATTCAACCACATTTGTTGACTGGTACCTTGAAACCAAGTTACTATTCAATTTTATAAATATTCCCACCCTTGCTTGTAATCATTTTATAAAGAATCTCGATTGTACTTTGTAGTAACTGCCAAGAGTTTTGTAAAGTAAATATGAGATTAATCAAAAAGCATGAGAGCCAACACTAACCAAGAATGTAGGTACTTGTACGTGTACAGAAAGATGACCAGGCTACATTTTTATTTCAGTTTTGATGCTCAACAGTTATATAAATAACTGCATAAATACATAGATAACGGATATGTAAAAACTGACTTAACGTAGAAACTGTACTTACACACACGCACACTAGAATTTATCCTGTTCAAAGTGAATGCCCATTCATTACAAACTAAACAATAATCATTGGCTCCATTAATAGTCAGTCATTTTCCAATGGTTACATCAACTCTTTCAAGACAATATATAAAACTAAGTCTTTCTCTTTTTGTTCTGTATTATATAGGAAGCATAAAACAATACATCATTTTCAACAGTAATTATGAAAAACTATTGAACCAGTCAAAAAGTGGTGACATGACTGGCAACCTCAGAGGACTTAACAACTGTGAACAATGACCTTGACATTCTTTTACCTGCTTGGGGTTATAGGTTGCCATATGAATCCTACTGATTCAGGTCAGACTGTTTAGTTCAGGAGTTGTTTAGTGCTTAAAGACAGTTTTTGTGTATTTTCATATTTCAATGAAGTGAAATTTGATTGTTACTATTCAAACCCAAGTTAGGTTATCCCATGTCCTGCTTATCTGATTTCGTTTTCTGAAACCTCTCTGGATTAATTGTAGAAAAAAAAAGGCTTTCAGGCTCCAGTATTAGTTATGAGGAACATCGCAACACAGAAAGTGTACAAAAACTATACTGTGTTGTAAACTGCTCTAAACGAGCATTATAAACTATAGAACTATTTTCTAGTCCTATTTCACCCCAAGAAAACCTGTATGGACATTAATCGTGAGATGGCTTATACAAATATTTTCTATTTCTCGAACCCCAGATACATGCACCTTTTTTTTGTTGTTCAGTAAAGTTTTGTTTTATCTTTCCTTCTGTTAAGAAAAACAAATTTCTTACCCCTTTTTCTTTTTTTCACTGAAACTTTTAAAACGTTTTCAATCTTTCTACTTACTTTCATAACTGCTGATTGCATAGATGTCTCTCTTTGTAATAAACCTGCTGCCATTATTTACTTCTCTTAGCTCTCCTGTTCTGGGAGAATCCGGAGGGGTAGGGACAACCTGCCCTAAACCACTTCCGGCAGAGTCCTCGTCGTCATCTGTAGGAAGGACCCCATTTTCTACTCCACTTCCATCAGCCTCCATTTTTTCTTGTTCTGCAACCTCATCTTCTGCCTTTTTACAGTCATGTATTCCCAAACAGAGTGAGTAGTCTGTTAAGTTATTCTTTTTCAGGAACTAGTGTGAACATAACAATCCAGCCAAAACTATCAAGGTGAGGGCATGAGAAAGACAAACACAAGTTAAAGAGCCAAATAGTATGAAGTTTAAAATATAACTAAATTCAGCCTGTATTAAGGAAACACGAAAAAAAAAAAACACAAGTAAATCAATCATAATTAGATTTTATCAGAACACAAATACTTATTAAACAAGCAATCGAGATCCAACTGAGCAATATAATCAAGTATTAAACAAGTTATATATGAACTATTCAATAAAGTTTAGTAATAACAACACCACTGTCATCTAAAATGTGACAGTATTTTATCCCTTAGTACTAAACTGCCACTGGGTATTGACACCTTCTCGAGATAATGTGGCCAAAGATGTCACGCTACTTCACTTAACTTCAAACACTTTCTTGGTTTACCCTAACCTCAATATCAGCACTGAGACTTTCCAAGAACCTTTCTTTAGCTTCTGGACCGATGTGGATGGTTTTTCCATCTTTCAGGATGTCACTGTCCTTCAGGGAAGTAGTGTGTTTGCTCTGAAAACATTGTAGTGTTCACGTTACATTTCACAACAGAAGTTCTTAAGTATCTTAAAACTTTTAAATCAAGTTCCAATAGTGAGTGTAGAAAAGTCACACACATATATATATCTAAATTATCAAACACAAAGAGTTTGTAAATACAGAACTACATAAAGAAAAAAACAGATTCTCGACATATTAACCCTTTATGTCCCAAAAGTCACGAGGTTCAACAATCACAAATAGTAATATTTTAAAATCCCTGTTCATATTTTGAAGATAAAAATAAATAGTTCCTGTTGAATAAACCATATGATTGCTAAACTTCAAAAATATTTAAAATGTTATCAGAACACGAAGGTTTAAAATCATATTAATATATTATATTCTTATTTTATTTCTCTACTGAATTTCGTGTGCAAAGCTACTCCAGTGCTTTAGGCATTAGCCGTGCCTAGTTTAGAAGTGATAGATTAGATAGAGAGTGGTTAATCAATACCACCCACTGCCAATTCTTGGGTTACTCAAATCAAATAGTGGGATTGATCATCACATTATAAAGCCCCTCATAGCTGAAAATACAAGCATGTTAAGTGGTGGGATATGAACCTGTGACCTGCACGTTGCGAGTCAAGCTCCTGAACCAACGGGCCATTTCAGGTCTTGTGTAGTTGGTGTAGAATTACTTGTCGTTAAGTTTTGATTACTAGCATGGGTATATTATGTACCACACTCTTTACCAAGATGGGCACATTTTGATTTAGCCCCTTATAATAATTATAAGTTAGAATCAATTAATAGGTTATTTTATCGTATACATACTACTTAAACGGATTTAAACAAATAAATAAATACAATTTCTTCTTCACCTTTTTTATGTGACACAAAACTTTTTTTTTTCTGTGCATAAACATTGCACTCAATCAATTACACTCCTCACTATCAATGAGAATTTTATTCAATTAATCTGATTAAAACAACACCCCTTATTGATTACGTACAAGATACACAGTTTATAAGTTGGATTGATTCCGACTGCTTCACGTTTCCTAACTAGCCATCACACAAAAACTACTACACGAATTTCATTGTAACAATAAATCTACAAAAAAAGGGGAAAAGCATATATTTTAATCTATTAAATTTTGAATTCACGCTACTGGAAAAAACCTGGTCTCGTTTATTATCTTCTTGTAGCCTGATTTTACCTGTAGGTCATACTTGTGATGAATCTTCAAGGAACTACTGAAGATGTTCCTCATAACTGCCAAATAGGTCTCAGCTCCTTCAACCGTCAACCTGTACATTGCTACAAACTGAGGTAGGAGTGTCTTCCCATGTCGTTCGACAATGTACTAAAATAAAGGAAAAACAACAATAAAAACTTACATTATTTTTCTTATAAAATACCAGCAAAATTTTCTTTACCTTTTTCCTAAATTACATTTCTAGGTAACACTGCCATGTATTATTCACTGTGTAGGGATTCATTTTCAAGCAATATAATGATCCTGAGCATACAGCAAAGGTGATGAAAGAGGCTGATATAACACTCACACCTAGCTTGGCCTGTACAAAGTACTGATACAAACACTACTGGGCTCATACATAAAGTGAGAAGGTCAAAAGGTAACCAAACAATTTCACTAAATGGTGAGGGAGTAACCCACAGGAGAGTACCCCACAACTGAACATTGATAAACCATATGGTAACATGAAAACAATGTGTAATGTTCTACGTAAAACAATGGGCTCACTAAATTGTACGGTTTATTTGCTTTTATTTTGTATTTTCTCCCACCAAACATGCTTGTCCTTTCCAAGAGGGAAGGCTGTCAAGTGGGTTGCATCCTTGACGTAAGACACAGCTTTAGAAACGATGGCAGAGCAAGATCTGCCATCGGCTCAACGGTCCGCAAGGACTATGGGAAACCAAAAACAAAATAAAAAATGTTTTATACTATAAAAACATTCACCATCTGGTTTCACTTACCCACTGCTCATGTTGTTTTAGTGCAAAGATACACAATCTTCTCTCTGTCCATCATGGGGGAATCAAACACCAGACTTTAGTATTTTCAGTCTGTAAACTTATAGCTGATGTATATGTTCTTAGTTCAATATGTTAACTATAAAGAAACCGTGTATCTTGGGAGCCTTACATCACTATAACAACTAATTACATGTATTTCCTTTTCAGGGTTAGTTACCAACAAACTTAATTCATCAACACATCACACTTATTTTACATACAAACCACCTATAACTTACCTGCTACCAATGTGCATTTTGTCTGACGTTTGTACACAGTCTGACTGATTGACCTAGTATGTGATCTACTACTAATGTCTACGTTTTATAACTTGTAACTACAGATGACTCTCTGACCCACTACAAATTGTAGACAGTAAGTTGGACATTAGATAAATAACTGTTAAAACATATATGGACTGGTGGTAATTTGGTAAAACGTAGAATAAATAACTGTTAAAACATATATGGACTGGTGTAACTTGTAACTACAGATGACTCTCTGACCCACTACAAATTGTAGACCTAATGTCTACGTTTTATAGCTGTAGGTATTTTTTACACTGTTCTCATTTCAGACGTAGCTTGATTTCAGAATCTTATCTACATGTATTTTTTATTGTATACAATGGCTTTTCTATAAAATTACAAAATATCTGAAGGAGGCTGAAATTATAGACTGTCTTTTTATATATCAGAGCTGGGTGATTAGTGGAGTTTGCTAATTGATTAATTGTTGGGCTCATTAATCAATTCCATTCAACTAATCAATTATCCTCACGAGATAGCTAAAAAACAAACAAACAAAAAAAAAACATTTTAAAATGCTCAAAACGAGTTTGGTACCAGCAGTTGGCACAGCACAGACAGCCCACTGTGTAACTTTGGGTTTATTGACAAACATAATAGCAATGTTTTAACTGCTTGGCTAACTAGAATAATGAAAAATAGTAATAACTGGAAGACCATAAGTTCGATTAGTTGATTATTTTCATAAGTTGTGACACCAATTGACTGAGCTGAAAAAACTTGAATTAGTCAAAAATAACAATAAAAAATCATAATGGTAATATTTCAATTACTGAATAGTTGGAACAACTGGAAACTATATCCAATTAGTTCATTACTGATGTGACATTAGTTGATCAATAATGCTTGGAGACGGCTTGAATGGGTAATGAAGAAAAACTTTAATGTAAGTTTAACATAACAGCAAATGTACGACGTTTCGACAAGGTCTTGTCATCATCAGGTACTTGTCTAAATGTTGTACTTTTGCTGTTATGTTAAACTTACATTAAAGTTTTTCTTCATTACCCATTCAAGCCGTCTCCAAGCATTATTGATCAACTAATGTCACATCAGTAATCAACTAATTGGATATAG